TAATTTTCAACTTTAGTAAACATCAGTTTTCCTCTTGAAGGTGAAATGAGCATATCTAAAGAAGCGCTAGAAATTTTTGGTTTGCCAAACGTGCTTCGTGTGTGCTCCATTTATGCGTCTGTGAACACATTTAATGAAATATATTTGACGACGCAGTTTACCTCCTCTGATCACTGTACGTTCGTCCAAAAAGGATTACCTTCACTCGATACTTCCTTCTTGTCTCTTAGAAAGACTCCGGGGAAAACATTCGTCAGATTGTTCAAGAAATAAAGAAAATCACTACGGCCTGTCATTTTCGAACGTTTTCAGACAAAAATGATGTGGTGATGCTATGCATGATGCACTCGTTACTGCACCTCATCCTAGTGTCATCCACACTAGACTACTGGAACAGGCCTCATTAGTTTTACAGTGTGCATGCAAAATGGCAACATTCCCAGAGGCTGCTCAAAAGCAGTCGCGGTCATAGTAAACAGAAACGTTCTGCACAAGACTAATCCAATACCTCCACCGAAAACATATCACCTGATTACACATATTATCATCCCAGAGTTCACTTTAGCATCGGTTTCTAAAGGTACATGCCACGGAGGACTATGCAAAGCAGAATATTTCGACCGCGTATGTAAATTAAAATCAACTAATCTTTTTGCTGCATCCACCCTCATCATGATATTCTCCCACTTGCCCCACGACACTAACTGTTCAGGATTCAAGCTACATGCACTGAGAAACACTGGTTGTCTTATCAGCAATGTTCTGCTGTCCGTTAACAATTTATACGGTTAGAAAACATACCATTGTGAAACTAAAATGATTGTGGTTTCTACTCCCACCGCTTGTGCTATAACTGCTTATTGTAACATGACTATTCGGTACCAAAATATATCTTATGAAATCATACAACTTAGCGTAATGTTCAATTTATGTGACGGTTTACTTAGTTTTAACTTTCTTGGTTTACATTCTTTTATTACCCACCTAAGTGTGATGAATAGCAGACGTGGCAACTCCCACAGTCACGAATACCTGTTGTTCGATGGAAACCGGTAGCCTAAGCGTCAGGACTTGGAGTGGCGAACCACATAAGACCCCACTAGGTTACGCGTGCTATTGAACCGTACGACAGCAAAGCTGCTTACCACCAAGGTTGGGTGGTGGTGGGAGGCTCAAACATGTGACCATGGGGCCCAAAGTACGCCAATAGCAGCGACCTAGCGGGGCCTTATGTCGTTCGCCACCCCAAGTCCTGGGACTTAGGTTACCGGTTTCTATGAATGAACAGGTTCTTGTGTCTATGGGGTTTACACCGTCTGCTATACATCACACTAAAGTGTGTAAGAAAAAAGACTAAACCACTGCGCCACCACCACCTCATGATAAACAGGAAAAACTATAAATACAAAATAAAAATATGCATATATAACATGTAACCAATTGCATAGAACCAGCAAACGTGCCACAGCATATGAAGAAAAATCTGTGTAATGCGTTCATAGGTTTTGGGTATATCACCTCCCGATTGGACTGATTACGGAACACGGATAACCTCGGGGTCACAACCCGAAGTCTTTGGATAGAAAGCCAGAACTGCAAGACAACAGGACGGAGCTCAGAGTCCGCAGTCTGGTAGTGGACTGTGTCCAACTTTCACTTTGGTGGAAAAACCACCACGAGAAGGCAGTGAGTAGGGCTTCTTCAGCAGAGGCTATTTGAAACGCTTGGTCATAGAAAAGCATTTCGCGATGTGTAACGGAAGGATGACCAGTCATAACCCGAGATATCCAATCCTACCACATTGAGGCTTTCGGAACCTGAAAAGGCATTTAGTGTTGAGCGTGATCCTCTCATTCTCACTCTGCTTCTCTCGTAACGGGCTTTTTGCTGACCATAAGCCAATCACTACGAAACCCAAAAGGTATTCAATCGAAGAAGAACAGTTCATCGAGTGTGAATGATGATACTGATGAACCACCCCCACCGTCCCTGGAGAGCTCAAGTCCTCCTCACAAGAAACGCCAGTCACAAAAAGAACACCTATTGACTACAAGACAACAGCAAACCGCTGTAAGCAACTAGACTCGTATCCACTGACAGGTCTCGATAAACTGATCGAGAACATATCACGATATACTCTATACAGTACCCCTGATTGTAAGAGTACATCCTTAGATTCCCTTTAAGACTGTGAAAGGTCTTATACCGCTTTCGAAGCATGCGATTATTTCTTCCAGTTCTGCAGCATTTGGTTTGGGTTCACGAATGACGTCGCTTGTTTTCAGTTCCCTGTTGACAAAATTTTAAAGGTAGAGCGCTTTACGGATCCATTTGTGTACATAGACAACGAAACCGTATGTGGTCAGACAGCAAATGATCATGATCTAAATCTGGAACGCCTTTAAGAAGCCGTCGTCAAATATAGTATTACCAGCAAAAGTCGCAACCATCCTTGAAGAAATAAGGCCTTTCAGTTGTCATGTTCCTTAGGGCATTAGCAAAACCAGACCCCGTCTAAA